TAGTGTCAACTGATCTAGGGATAAGCAAAATTTGTCTCAATCATCCAATCGTACCCGATCTTGCAGCAAGACTAACACTGAATGACTCAGTCTTCCTTATTTTTATTTTGAATTTTTCATAAAAAAACCACATTTAATGTAAGTTAAATTTATTTATTTATAACGACTGAAATAATAAATTATTATTATAATTTTGGGTTTTCGAGGAATAAAAATAATTTAAGGAGACATTAGAAATAATTGGAAATAACATTATATAAAAGTTGCTTTATATCAATTATTTGAAAAGGAATAGTGATTTGGATTTGCTCATATCTAGTCCATAACTGGACACTTTTTATACTCGATGCAAAAATCTCACCACTTCACTATAAAATCAAATAAATACGTACTGTACACTTAAAGCACATCTAGTACTACATAACCGAAACCACTTTTAGTAAAATGTAAAATCGTTTTGGTTAGTTCATTTTCAAACCCTATTTTAATAAATTCTACCCTATTGAATAAAACTAAATCAACAATATTTTAATATTTTAAATACAATAATTAATTACATTTTTAACAACTCACAAATTTATTTTTCCATTATCTAACGTCTAAATAAAGAAAACATCGCAAGAAATGTTAATGTAATCAGGCGGCATTAGGCACTATATTTTAAGAGCTATATTATAATTATCTTATTTCAGATAAATATTATTATATTATACTCTTATCAGTCCTATTAGCTTATACTTTTAAAGCCATCATACTTTCATAAATCAAAAAAGATACACATCTTTTGATTATTAAGTACAGTTTCAATAGAAATAAATCATCAACGGTCATTTTAAAAACAATTCTGAACTCTAATTACAAAAATGGCCGATTTGGAAGTCATAGTTTCGCTGCATCAAGTTAATAAATGCTAAAGTAAGTGTCTCCCTCAAACCTTTTTCGTCGGTTCGATAACAACAAAGAAGAAGAGTCGATTAAGTCATATTAATGTCATATTTAATTTATACTTTACCAATTAAGTTAACAAAATATATTCATTTTAAATAGGAAAAATAATCATATACTTATAATCTAAAAGAAATGTAAGGTACCAACAAATTGTAGTAATTGATTGATTAAGAACGTTAATGGTAATTAAAGCCTTCAGTGTACTTGAAATTATGATGTTATAAATCATGAAATATACAATTTGAAAAATTAAGCTTTGTATTAAAATCTGTATATAAAAAAAAAGTACCATCTGTGACCAATTTTGAATCTATTAAGGAGTTGTTTAAACCAAAAAATTGTTTTGTCATATTGATATCAATTATAATATAAGACTAGGGATTTATGTGGCCGACTCAAATAGTTAGGAGAAAATATTGTAGAAAAATTAAAATTAAAATAAAAACTATTATAAAACCAATTGATTTATTCATTCAACCCAAGTATATATTGCAACTATATCAACTATATTCATTGAAGTATCTTAAATTATGATATTATATTACATATTACCTATTTGTCGTCTTATTTTTTACCATAATATTGTATAGTAGCCATTGTATATTTGTATATGTAGTACTTATAGTCTTCAACAGTCATCAGTGATAATTATGGTATCATATTCTAGTAGTAGATTTTCAATACTGGTGTTGCGGACAGTAACAATTTATCATATCGTTGTAGTTATTGTAGATTTGATAATCAAATTATAAAGGTATAATAATGATTACAATGATATCATAATTTATAAAATGATCAACAAAATAATATCCTAAGGTACAACAATTTACTATGTATCATACAACTCAAGCTGAATTTTATATTCATTTTTAAAAATATTATATTATATTTAATTGTGTTTGTTAAAGTAAAGTATATACGATTTTGGGAATACGATACATGTCTTTCATTTATAAATGTGGACATCAGATACGTTTCAAAGTGCATGGCAATATACTTAAACTATAGAAAGCTTCATATCTATACCTGTTTTTCGTGGTGACAGTAAATACGTATTAAGGCCGTTGTTTAATCAAGGTTATTTATTTTGACGTCTAACGCAATTAATAACTTGGTTCAAAACGGAAACACGACAAAATTTTAATTAACTCGTAAATTTCAATAAAAGTATCCAAATTTTTTTTGACACTCAAGTGTTGATAGTGATTAAAAAAAAAAATACTAATAATTGTTACGTTGTAAACCGGTGAGTGTTTTTTTTCACCAACCCTTTTACGCACGCGTTTATTGTTTTTTCAATGATATAAAGCTAAAAAGCCATCGTTCCATTGTGCATAGGTAAAACAAAAAAAATTGAAAATTACAATCCGTATTATAACAAGTGGCAAGTGCGCAGCATGGTGGACTGATAAAATATATTTAAATGGTTATGGTGCGTAACTCAAGTGGCGTTTGGCCAATGTCGGTGGTAGTATAATTGTTTTAACAGTATCATTCTGTTCTCTAATTAATAAATTACCATTAAAAAAAAAACCCCATAACACGGTTGAACAATGCACCGATACAATAAGCCCTTCATAAGTTTTTGTCCGCCAGATGAACATATTGTGCGTGCTGTTGGGTATAAATAATTCGTTAAGCTCTAATTAAATAAAGGCATATCAGATTTGTCACGCCAACCAAAGTTTACGACAACAAAATACGCATAGACATAAAATATTGTACATGTTATGTACACAATATTTCCGTTTGTAAATATTAAGTCATTATTTGCAACGATTGAGTTATTACCTGTACGTTAGGCTCGGTCTTAATTCCGCTTCCGGTACTACTATTTCACCGTCACTAAACGTATCAGCACTACACCAGCGGCAGGTCATATAGATTGTATCGTTTGTAATATTTATCAAATGCAAAAACATTGCGTCGGTATACATTTTATACTTTATCTTTTTCTTTTTACGTTTTTCGAAGTTTATACAAATGTGTTTAATGTGGAAAAATACTGTTTTTATAAAGTAACAATACATTATTTTAAAAGCAAATACAAAGGTAGAAAGCAAAAACTTTAGTTTTATGGAATTATTTACAACCGTAAATTCTCAAATGAAATAATATATAGTTGAGAAAAAAACTATCCATAAAACAATATAATATCATGTCTTCAAGTCATGAGTGAAGAATTTTATCACACGTGTTTACGATGTTTTTAAAGTTCAGACTAAATTTTACTTAGATATTTTTCCTCTTCGTCAATGATTTATTATTTAGGTAAATCATTTTTGTTAAATATAAGTCATCGCTTTGTTAGTTTATTGGTTGCGATATTAAATAAATGCATATTCTATTACATAATAATTGTACGTAGGTTTATGCAATAAAAACAAAATTAACTACTTTAAATAACAAAAAACATTATTATCCAAATATGAAAATGAATATTTTACGTTTTAAAATCACCTAATATTATGTTTCATTTTAAATTGTTTATTTTTTATCAAGAAATAAACATTTCAAACAGTCGCTATAAACTAATTTGAATCATGGAAACTAATTTAAAGTTTACAGACATTAGGAATGTTTTATGATGGCTTAACTGCAATAGGTATGGCTAAGTAAACATTTTTTTTACGGTGATTACTTTCCTTCTTATTGGACATGCGCTATATATGTTTTATAATCAAAATATACATGCCTCTTCCCCCTACCATTACATCAATATATTTTATACTAATTCGTATCGGTCTTGTTTTCAATATCCATGTACACCCCAGTCAAGTAATCAACAATATATTTTTAAATTCGTTCAAATTGTGTAAACTATTAACACGTTGTACCACGATAACCAGTGGGTGTAGAATGACATGAATGAATGGATGCTGTTTCAAATGGTCTGAATAGGTAATCTCATCAACTGCAATCCATTCTCTATTCGTGGTTACGGGTTTGCCACACCTTTAGAACCATTTGTACTGGTCAAATCATTTGCGATCGACCACTCACTATTTGAAATTACATTGTACTAACCATTTCACATGATGATCAACAATGGACAATGATGAGTGACTTGTAGGCACGTGGTTAAATAATATTATCATGGTTAAGCGGCTTATTTTTATATAATAGAAAAAACCTTTTAAAATATTAAGCTATAAACAATAATGCAGTTGGATCGTTTATATTTTAATATTATATGAACTTGCCTAACGCTGAATCAAACACCACTTCAACATAGTTTTTTTTTTAAATATTCGAATAACAGTTTTGATTGTTTGCCTCACTAAAATAATAATTAGTCGGATCTTATTTATCTAAAAATTAATAGTGTTTTTGAGTTATTAATTAGACATTTTCAAATGTTCAACCAAATCATACTATAATTATTTATTAAAGTGTAAATAGATTATTAAACTTTCAGAAAACATGATTCAAATTGACCATCTCAATTTTTGCAATAATACAAAAATTAACTAGTTAATCATTTGCAGAAAAATAAACTTAAAAAAGGTGAAAAGAAACTGTAATGATTATTAAATAAAAAAAATAATACTTTATGTTGTGGCTTGGTGTGGCATGGTGTCTACACTTAGTTTCGTACACGCTCTGACTGTACGTACCGGGTGGTGTTGCTAGCTCCCGGATGGGTGATCATCAGGGATTTTTGGCAACATATCCTTGTCACTCATACACAAACACGTGTCACAATAAAACAAAAACTTACTAAAAATATTCTAAAAAACCCCTACTGTATCACATTACATTTAACGGCCTACATGTTGCTACGGGTTCCCTTTGATAAAAAAAAAAATACTTTATTTTAATTCAGATAATAACGTATACCTAATAATAATAATTATATTAAAATAACTACCTAAGTGAAAAGTATTTACCCGTTATTTTTATACATATTTTTGATATTTCTGCTATTTCTAGATTTGTATATATTAATCTAACACAATAATTCAATAACTAAATCCGTCATTGTTATTAGAAGTCATAATTTAGTTTCAAATTTTATTTTAAAAATTAACATAATATAGTATTATTAGTACCTTTATAAGCTAATGAGCTGCGCCGTCTTGTTGAATTGTTGCAAAATGCATTCGTATTCGATGTTGTAAATGTTTTCGTGCCCGTTAACTTCATATTTGGCATCATACTTTGACGCACATTTCGTTCCGGATGACACAAAATGATGTATAGCTAAAACAAGTTGAATAATAGTTCTATGCGAGGTGTTAGAAAGTCAACTAGAGTATGAGCAAGTTAAGCAGTCATCCCCAAAACAAACTGATTTAGAATGATAAGTAGTTTATATTTTATTCAAATTTATTGCAAACTTAAACGATGAATTTTTTGTTTCGTTTTCATGAACAAAGAAAACTAAACGGAAGACAATTTGTGATTTTATTGTATTTTTTTTTTTTGACATTAAAAATGTATTATATTTTATTAAACAAATCATTCATATGTCATCGATTATAGAGCTGTCATTATTAACAATTTTGAATACCGATTACCGAATCAATTTTGAAATTAAATGACAGTTGAGTATATCAATCACACAATGTATGCATAATATATAATATTATGTATAAATAGGCAACAGTAGAATTACTCAATTTGTCCGAACAGACGTATTATATAAATTATAATTAGCAGTCGGCCAAGGTCAACATTTATATTGTACGGGCATTGTAATACAGCCAAATTTCGATAATAATTATAATTGATAATTTAATATATTTAAAATATTTATTTCATTGTTATTATAATATTATGTAAATCAGCTGCCTATAGGTTTTATTTTACAGACACATATTTTACTATATTCAAAACAAAATCGAGATGTAGATTTTCTGGAAATATTTTATTAATTAATTTAGTCATACAATTATAGTAAATTATACACTACATAATTAAACAGAGTGATTTGTCATGCACACTCTTTTTTTTCTTTAGTAATGCAGTTATTCAAAATCTTATTTTTTTAATTTGTAAATGTACTAGAAGATTAAATTTTAAAATTCTTGAGATTTTTTTGTATTACTTAAGGAGTGTCCTGTGAAGATACAAACTTCTGTTTTTTTTAAATGAGAGTACCCCTATTCAACTACGAACTATAAAGCAGATATTTTTTTTGCATTTATTTTGACGTACCTAAATAAACATTTCTTATGAATAGTGTTTGAGTTAACTTCGTGTTCTAAGGAAAAAAGATACACAATAATGAGTTTATAAGATATGGGGGCTAAGGTGATTTGAAATTTCTAGTCGTTAATATTAATCATCGATATTAATAATTTATAAAAATGGCTCAAGTATAGTAAATACTAGATCCAATTCTACCACTATTTTATGTACAAAACCAATTTTAAGGACTATTATCCTTAATATAAACATTTTAACAACTAAGAAACTACTCATTCGAATTTGAATGTGGCACATCAATATGTTCAAAACATTCATCGACTTATTAATTTTCAGTAAAAGAGGGGAGATTCTAATTTGAAAAACAGAAGCTTGTATCACTATAGGACACTCCTTAGGTAATACAAACAATTCGAGAATATGAAAATATGGCCTTTGAGTATGTAAAAATTCCAAAAATCAGAATTTAAATAAATCCATTATTAAAGTAAAAAATGGGGGGCAAGTATGCTTGGTGAATCACCCAATGTATACTCAATTATTATTGATAAGTTACTTTTAATTATTTTAAAATTATTTATTGAAATTCGGTTCATACGTTTGAACTGTAGTAAGTTATAAGCACATAAATATTACTTTGTTTTCTTATAAAATATTACTAATTAACTTAATATTAGACATGTAAGTATAGTTACAACTAGCAAAACTTAAATTATATTAGGTATTAAGTATATGATATTATAAAACCGTGTTGAACATTTTTTCGTTATTAGTAAAAGGAAATCCCTACATTGCATTTCTGGAATTTGGAATTGAAGTGTATGCTTTAATAATTAATAAATGTACCTACATAATATTATAATAATAATATACATTTGTAATTTAATTTATTAATGGATCACATTATTCGGTATCGTTTGGACCGGGCCCATTACATCAGACCGGATATTGTAATAAAAAAATAATGTTTACACTATTTTATTTCAAATTTACCAAATTCAAAGGGTAAAGTGAACATTTACTGATGCTCCCCTATGCCCATAACAAAGTTAATTACACACGAATTCTACTGCAGATCACATTATGATATTATGATGTTGTCTACGGGCATTATATAATAACATTGTATAGTACGTACCTTCGGAGAGAACAGGCAAACTATAGTTACACTAGCGGAAAGGCTAATGGTTACTGACATGGTAGTTATCCTTAGTGGAGTATGGTTGCCAATGCCAAAGTACAGCGGAACGAACGCGAGCCATATGACACAAGTTGTGTACATCGTGAAACCTGTTAAAAAAAAAAATTAAAATAGTTGAAACAGATACGTTTTAGCTTGTACACAATAATATTAAAAATAACGTAATTTAAAATGTAAATAATAATTTGGTTCATAACGCATTAACCTGTACCATCATTTTTCCACTGTGATAATATCTATATATTTTTATTATGTCTGAGCTACGCGTTGTTCCAAACAATATCCAAATAATAATATCATCACTATACATATTATTATAATTTATAACACATCAATGTATTACATTTAATTCAATTTTATATTGTAGGTATATGTAGTTACTGATTTTTAAAGTTATACATTTTTATCTCATTATACTTAAACTAACCTAACAACTGTTACACTTAATGTATACCCCATGAATATGTATAGCCTACAGTACCACCCCTTGAGATTACGACAACGTAGTTGTAATGATTTATATTCGCCAGATTTAGTACGGAAAAGGGAAGTAGATTCGTTTACAGAGAGAATTAAAATTATTTTGGAAAATTAATTTATGATGGAAGCCACACTCAGCTTAATTCAATAAATAAATTACCTTGACATACATACATTAATATGAAATATAATTGTAAGCAAATTAATAATTATCGTTAAAAGCAATTCGTTAAGTAAATATTGTAATATTCATAAATTCAAACATATACAGTACTTATATATATATGTTGTACACGTAGCTGGTGAACAACGATGCAATTCAAAACATTTCAAAAAAAAGGTTGATTGATATTGATTTGAAAACTGATTAAACTTGATAACAAAGTGTACACCAATTTCTAATGAAACTACTAAAAAAAATGAAGGAGTAAAAATATATTGCATATAAATTAAATTAAATACACAGAACACAATAACTTAGTTACTTAAGAATTAATCAAACTTCTGGTGGTTGGCAAACTTAATTTATCGCAATTGGAAAATATAGCGATGTAAAATATTTAAAACAATTTAAAACAGTGTGATTTAAAATTTAAGACCAACAGTATTAATGTATAATAGAATAATACGTTGGACAATGAACCGTATTATCATTTATCTCTTTAATGAATAATATTTATACTCATAAATGATCATTGTTTAAATTCAAAAGTGTAAAGTGTTGCTTTAGAACAACACCTACCCAACTAATGTGTATTATAATATACAGGCATGACGTGTGTAAAAAAATACATTAAACTGATATTCATTTTGAAAAAAAAAATGGTATGTAAGTACAATAGATTACAATATTTTACATTCAAAAAAATTTCACTATCATATTTTTAAATATAAAAAAATGGTTTAATTTAATTTATGTTGAACATTGAAACTGTCGGAGATGTACTATTAAACAATATGATTTTATTAATTGGTATTTTTTTTTAATGAACTATTATTATTTGGTTCAATAGAACCTTCATCTTTAAATTAATTTTAACACAATCGTACACTTTTATAGTTAACTAATATCACTTTTGATTGTTTATTTTTACATAGAATGTAGGTACGTTGTTGATATTGTGTCTTAATATTTAATTTATCTTAAGTCTGTACTCTTTTAATACAATGAACTGTAAGTAATCAAAATCATTTAAATTTACTTAATACTGTTATACTTTTTGTAATACCATGTAATGTCTATTAAATATAACATTATATTATAATAAAACAGTTGAAAATTAGGTGTGTTATTTTTATTAGATAACTAGAAATTATTATTGACGAAAATATATACAACGAGAACTCGTTCGTATTAAGCCATCAAGAAACGTAGGATTAACCTCCAACCATTGAGTTAACTCAATATCCCAATATGCTCATCTATAGTCTACTCAAGCATTGTCAGATCTATGTGAACTTCTGATAATAATATACAATTGATCAATGCAAAATATATCATTATAATAATGTTATAATGTGATGGAGTCTACAAAAAAATACTGTATCAATACTGTATGTGCAGCACGTTGGCATTAGTTAATTTACATATCAAAAACGTGTAAATTCTACAATGAATAGAAAATAGATACGTTTTTTTTCATTTAATTCAACATCAGGAACTGTAAACGTTGACAAGTCTTAACTCTTTAAGAATATCGGATTGCTCGCAATGAACAAATTCTTAGGTACAACAGTCAATATATTATTTTTGTTGAACAAATAAGCTTGTTGTAAATGTCATTGATGTTATCCTCACTCTTAAGGAACTACGTGAAATTCGAAAAACAACCTTTCAAAAGTACCTCCTAACTTAAATTCCCAATCATAAAAAGTGTAGACAAAACTACAAAAAAAAAAAACATTTAATTGTAAAACCAATATTTTGATCGCTTCGTTCAGAATCTAATTAGTAGTACAAAAATTAGGACTGCTTAATGATATAATAATTTAAAAAACAAAAAAAAAAACAGTTTAAATTGAAATGATGTAATTAAAGTATTTTTGACTCAACCAGTCAGATAGAAGTAATTTAATGAAACGACTATTTTTCCATAAATTATGGAGAAAGAAATAATGAAAAACATAAAGAATCCATTGTTATATTTTATTTGCAGTGTTCAAGATTTTCTCAGAAATACACACACTTCTGAAAATGTACTGGGTAACAGTTACTTGAACCTCTGGTTCTCTTAATTACTTTTACGAAATAGCCAAAATCATAAAAACATTGTAATATAGTATAAAAATGTATTTCCGTTTTCGAGAAATGTCTACTTATTATTATTATTCAGATTACAATATTTTCACTTCGAAATATAGTTGAGTACCTAATCTGAGCAAACGGCAAAGTTCATATGAAATATTTAATGTTTTTAATAAAAACCAATTCGTTTCATTTTATATTTAAGATGCATGATCTACTGCAGTCTAATAATTAACCAACATTAGTAATTGTTACATATTAATACCAATGGCTGTATTATTGAGTTTATAATTCAAGCAATATTGGAATGCCTGTGTCTATTCTAAATTTCCGGCTTTTAAACACCTTTAAATAGTTAACTATAATTCCATATAACCTTGTAAATTAATTTAATATAATTTAATTGACTGATGTGTAGAAACATAAATAAATTACTGAACATGTTACAAAGCGCGATTGTTGGTCACTCATCTCGATAAGCTTAAAAAAAGCACAATTATAATTTGTAATACTACATTATATTGTTCATTTATTACTTTTTTTTATTTACAAATATATTTTCAGATATAAGGATTATTAATAACTTACAATAGTTTAAAGTTGTATATAATTATGAATACTGCTTTTTATATAGATCATATTTTACACTATATTTTAGTAATGAGATATCAGTGGTCCTTTGCCCTATATGCTCGATGATGAATCAACTACCTTGAAAAAGTCTATTATTCTTATTCCTTGTCCGGAACAAAAGGGATCTTTGAATGAAATAGTATCTATATTTAATTTTGTTTGATAGTTTTATCGTATAGTGCTTAATAATATATGTTGTTAACTATATCAACAATCGTAACTATTTTTCAGTTACTGCAGTCAACATACACAATTAGGAATTAGGATATAAGGTATTTACTGTCTAAACTTATGTTTAGAAACCTCAAACTATTAATTTTGTTTTTCTACTTATAACTGCACTTAATTATTATTCATAGTGTTGTAATATCAAATTTTTAATTATTCTAATGTAATAAAAATGAATATAATCGGTCATACTGGTCCCTACCGTGTACGGGGTACCGCAATACACGTTATACATATACATATATATATATATATGCACGAGATACATACACTCCCTACAGCCACAGCCCACGGGACACATGGAACACATTAACACCTCTCTTCACCCCCAACCAAGTAAGATCGAAAATTGCACGGATCGATACGAATGTTATACTGGAGGTGTTTACGTTACACCGTACAATATGGAATCATAGACATATCGTCGTACCTTAACGTTTCGTTCAATCGATACACACCAATTAGGAAGGGATTACACCAGATCACACATTGTATAAGGATGACACGAGATCGGCCCAACAACAGTTTTTTTTCCACAAGAGGAGCCGATGCACAACGTAAACTCCAGTCTACGTCGCCATACACTTTATTTGCTGTTCAAAGGTGCATCTATCATCGTGCGTATAGCTGTATAGACATATATGTATGTATATTGAGATATCTCGGCATTCGGTATACCAATTTGATTAATTATTTCATATTACTAACTCAAATCATTTTGTTATTCTTTACATCTACCTCATCTTCCTATTATATTCATTGATACCATATAATCCTGTGACTATCATCGCAGAATAATATAACAATATTATAATGTTAGCATATTTATCATTAGACTATCACTAGTATTAGACCTAAGTATATTATTTAATTATCGTTTATTTAGAATATAAGCATAATTTAAGACAGCTCAATAACTTAAATTACATTCGGTTGATAGTCGAGTTTTTCTACGATCATTACGAATGAAGGGATTTCTAAGAGCTATAATATTAAGATAATAGTATTGTTATAAAAAACTCAGCAACTTTAATTACATTCGATTGGTAGTCGAGTCTTTCTACGACAACTACGAATGTAGGGATTTTTAAGAGTACGCGATAATAGTCACAGAAATAACCGATAAAGGTTATGAAGGTAAAGTCCAAACGATTTCTGGAGACTCAGAGAAGGAGCATTAAGTAGTTAACTGTATAGATAAATCAAAATACATATACCGTCAAGTCACAGTGATATCGAGTATCGAAAAACCACCCTCTGAAAACAATAGTTCACACGCACTACAAATATTATAGAACACGCAGCGAAAAAGGTAAGTGGATACACATATCATATTCTAAACAAAATATAAGTAGTAGAGTAATCATACACTCGCTTTAAAAACTATCAAAACAACAATCGTGTTAAAATAACGTACGGTAAGATTAACATAATATTATATGTATTCACAGTCATTGCCACTGTCCCTCGTATCGTATTACAGAAACACGTAGTATTCTATTG